TATATAAATATATGTATATATTTATAGAGCAGTTAGAAGAGTTTATAGGAAGGTGCTACTTGACTTCAAGGGTACTGCTGTGCCAGCTCTTTCCCCTCAGAAACTCAGACTGCTAACACAAACCCCTGGGGGCTTTTGTGCCCCTAAAATGCCAGGGTGAGAGGCTGGAGGTGGAGAACTCTGCCTCCCCACTGCTCCAAACCTGAACAACATTCCCCGGGATGCAGGGCTTCTGGGTCCCAAGCGCAATCCTCGCCACACAAGAATCTTGTTTCAAAGGTAGCCTTTTACGACAGGGTGGGACTAAAATGGGGCCTACCCAGATTCTGAAGACTTGGTAAAAGAGAGGAGGTAAGTTTTAAAGTCAGTCACCCTCTCCACCCCTCTGAAAACTACCAAAAGGTCAGAGACCACAAGTCTGTGGCTGGGTCAACTGGGCAGTTCAATCCCCATATCCTAGGCTGTTCACTCAACACTTAAGAGCCCTCAGCATTCTGTATTCTACCAGGACACCCCCAAGCTATTCTTAGGTGTTCCTTACAGATTGCAAAAGCTCACCTTTAGCTTCTGACATCAACTTCTTGGCCAACCATAGTCCAAGGACTAGCAGCAGAAGCACATGGGCAAAGTCTCCCCTCCACTGCTCTGACCCACCCCTCTGGCAGAAAAATTTAAGGAGCTACAAATCGCCAGAGAGACAGGGAGTAGGAGAGGGAGAAGCCAAGGGTCTCTAATCAGCTCTGAATGCACCCACTTGGCTGCCAGGGCTTCTGCCTCGCTAGCAGCTTGGCAAATTTAAAACCACCCACACTCAGAAGCAAAGCTCCTTGCTAATAAGATACAAGTTAACACCCTGAAAAATGTACATCAGGCTTCCATTTCAAACTGAGCTCTGCACTAAATGCAACATGTTTGGGGGGTGGGGTCTTTTTCAATGGACCAGAGCCATATAAGGACCAGTACAAGCATGTCTGAGTTTTGGTTACAGGTTTATAATTAGACATGAAATTCACACTGGGCTGGAGTTTTGCTTTCAAGCCAGAGGCTTAACATTAGTTCTACTTAGTGAGAGAAATTAACAGTCAACTTAAAAAAAAAAAAAAAAGTATAGAGGCTAAGATTAAGGGTAATCATAAATTAAAACTGAATCAAGTGACTGGTAGTGTCTTTTAGGCATGAAGAGACTGGCTTAGTTGACTACTGCTTCTACCACACACAGTGAGGATTGAGTCACAGACACACTAAATCATGTCTCTTGCACAGATGGTCTCAAGTAGTTACATAAAACAGGTAATCAGCAGCACAATTGAGAACTCCTAAATACATGCTTGAGAAAGTGGTTATTCCTTCATTAAGAGCGCCACTGCCTGAATAGATTAAGTGACCATGATCCCCACCCCCCGAAAGAAAAATGCAACTAGATTTACAATGGCCACGGATGACAAAGCAATCCGCAGCTGCCGGGTTTTAGGCAAGGTTCTAGGCTCAGAGGTTGGTGCTGGGAACTTGGAGGGAAACCCAATACTGGGCTGTGGGCATTTAAATGGGCACTGGCCTCCCCTCCAACTGCCTTGTCCCCCTTCAGATCTCAGCTTTACAAAGCATTTAACACCACTTTAAGTTAATGGTCTTTTTATTGGAAAAAAAAAAAAAAAAAAAAGACTAGCATGTACAACTTGGAATGGACGTAAATGATAATTTCCTGAACAGCAGTGTTGATGGTTGTGCTGAAGCCCACAGCCACAGACCACTCTGCTGGCTCCAAGTCACGGTTCAGAAGGTTTTAAAATCAGAGAGTCCAAAGATGCTCCCTTGGTAAAGATTTCTCATCAAAATTTTGTGTCATTTGGTGACTGCCTGAAGCTTACTTCACTCTAGTACAATGCACACAGCACTAAACTAGGGTCACCATGGGGTCGGAACACTCGAAGTAAAAGAGGACCATCCTACCACTGGGTCTGTGTCAAGTTTAGCCTTCACTCATTTTCTGCACAGGATCCTCAGGCCAACCAATTGTAAAGGTTGTGTAAGCAGTAAACTGGCTGTTGACAATTTAGGCTAACAAATTGAACTAGAACCCATCTGAGCAGGTTTTAGATTTTCCATTTTTCAATTTTAATACAAACGCCTGCCTGACTACTCAATCGTCAAGCCGCATGCATGAAAACTGGCCAGCTCAAACAGTGTGTTAAATCATTAGCAATGGAACTTTTAGGAGTCCACTAAGTGCTTCCTTATCATTAAGGTAGTACAAGTATGTATATTGTAAAACTGATGTGGAGCTTGATCTTTAGGGGACAGGACCACCAACCAATACATGCAGATTTTGTGTGTGGACAGAAGGTACTTTTTTGACATTCAGTTTTGCTATATAGAAACAGAATGAATAAATGAACTTTTATCTTTTTTCTTTTTTTTTTTTTTTTTTGTAAGAGGTAAGTAAAAGATTCAATTTGATTCTTCTAGAGGGGGAAAAGTAGTTGAAAGTAGGTCTTCATTTTGCAGTCATCATCTGTACGAATTCTGAAAAGACAAATAATCATAACTTTCGGTTATCTTCAACACAAGCTCTAATGAACACATCTACTGTGTGCGTCTAGAGCAACAGTATGTAGATCCCAAGACCATTAAAAACCAGGCTGACGAAGTTTGGATGTTTACCTTCATAGTTGACTTGTCCGTCTCCATCAATATCTGCTTCTCGGATCATTTCATCTACTTCCTCATCTGTTAGTTTTTCTCCTAAGTTTGTCATGACGTGACGTAGTTCTGCTGCACTGATGTAGCCATTTCCATCCTGGAATAGGCAGTGATTGTTACAATCATGGGCTTCTAGTGGCTCAGGGGAGCGAGGTCTGCTGACTACGCCCCCTCAAGTTACCCCCAACTCGGCTCTCAGACTTTGTCCCACCTCCAGTCCCCAACAGTCTCCAAACACAGCAAGCACAGGTTTTCAAGTGAACAGACTTTGAACAAAAACAGCCAACTCAGCACTCCTGTCGGCTGTGCCTCGACCACTATGGTTACTAAAGGAGTGGGGACAGGGGAGGCTCAGGCAGTCAGGCCAACTCCAACCAACCAAAAGCTACAACCTTCAGCAGTGATAGAAAGCCCAAAGGGCAGTATTGTATACTATCTCCAAATCGTATGCCATCTCTAGGGCAGATGCAATCAAGATTACCTTGTCAAAGACTCGGAAGGCCTCACGGATTTCTTCTTCACTATCTGTGTCTTTCATTTTTCTAGCCATCATAGTCAAGAACTCTGGGAAGTCAATGGTGCCATTCCCTTAAATTAAAAGAAAGAGCTCATGTAAGGCCAGCACTGCGTTAGCTTCTATGGAGTAGTTATTTTGGAACCACTTCATGCAGTGTTCAAATACTTGATAGGACAAAGTGACAGCTAGTATGAGGAATTATTTTTATTAGGGTCAACCTTCTGTACAGGCCAAAATGTTCCAATAGTTCGCAGAGCAAAGTCATGTGACTCAAGCTACTCAGCAGTGCCCAACTTATAAGCACAAAAGAAGTTATATGCCCAGATTCATGACTACACAAGTGGGCCTAACAGTTCAAGGAAAAAAGAAACACTTCCAACTACCTGCGTCCTAGGAGATTACTCAGGTCTAACTAGCAATGCACAAACTTCTCCCGGGGAGAAAGAGTATGTAAGCAAGAAAAACAGCCTATTGCACCGGGCCAGCTGCTCAGTCTTCTCCAGGCACACAATTCAGGGCTGTTACAGCAAGTCTCTAACGTTGTTCCTACCCACCTCAGTTTCGGTGCCGGGGTCTTGAAGCCAGGGCCTCTCACATGTTAAGCATACACTCAGCCTAGCCCCCAATTCAGGAGCTTCATTACCCCTGGAGGGCAGAGTTCAGAAGCTGTTTTCGCAGTTTAAGACCACTGACGTGAGGAACTGTCAGAAAAATCCACTCAAGAGCCAGTATTCCACACAACTCCTCTAAAACCAAGGGAAACCCCAAACACAAACTCCAGATTAACAACACTGCTTGAACTAAATGGTAAGAAAATTGGAAATTAAACCAGGTTATTTACACTTCATTTTCACTAAAACATTTAGAACAAATTATTTCTGGAACTGGTGTATATCGATGGCTCAGTGCTAGAGAACTTGCTTAACAATGGAGAGCCCTGGATTTAATTCCCACGTGGTCTAAGAAATAATTAAAAAAAAAATCTTTGGAGCCTCCAAAATTTTAAAGCATTAATACCCATATAGAACAAAATAAATGATGGTAAGTGCTATCTTACAACCATGCAAGCTATCCTTAGGTGTCAGCACAGCTGGACGCAACTTCTCACACTTAGGTCCACCCACACTATCAGACAGTCAAAGGTACCCTCCCACCCTGACTTCCCAAGAGTCATTAACAGGAAAGGGACAATCCATGTTCCCATGCTTTCATGATCGAACTAGACGGAATCATGGACTGTTTCCAAAGCGACACATGAAGAATGACAACAATCTTCAGGGGTGACCGAAACAGGCACAGAAACTCCTCAGTCTAACACCTTATGGTACCGTATTGTTCCAAGTGGCTTCTAACAAGTCAGCCATCTAAAAACTACAAGCTAGACCCAAAGAGTCTGTCCTTAGCTTTTTGTTGTTTGCTTGCTTTGGAGACGAGTTCTCCCTGTATCCCCAGGTGGGCTGTAACTCTTGCTCTCAGAGATCCGCCTGCCTCTGCTTCCCAAGTGCTGTGATTAAAAGTATGTGCCACCACGCCTGGCTCAGCTCTTTTAAAACTGTGTAATAATTACAATCTTATGGCACACATTCATGTGAGTATGTGACTTTTACAAAAATACACATGCCATTTGGGGGGAAGGGTGCCTCAAAATCTATTAACAGGAGTGAGCAATAAGGGCTCTGTTGTGCACTGTTATCTAGAAGAGTGGACAGCCAACAGTCACAGGGGACTACTGGCTCTTTTGGCTGCTTCCCCTTCTCTTAGGTTCTGCAATTCTCAGTCACCCCAACTCACTATCCCTTTCACACTGCACTCAGTTCTGTGTTAACTTCTCAGAGTGCTCTTCACCCACTGCACTTGGGAGTGTCTACCTCCTCTTAGAAATAAGTTTTTTAAAATAAATCCAGGTTCTCTGGCTATTTGTTTTTACTTCTCCACACAGGACTTGGTACAGACCTGTGGGCCAGTTGATAAAAAGATTTGTAGGTCACAGTGAGCAGCAAAGAACAATACAGCAACTGGATCAGGAAGTGCTCTAGACAGTGTGCAGGGAAGACCAAGCCCACAATCTTCTACTTTAATGTTGGTGGCTGTACGACAACCACAGAAAGGAACTTTACACATGTGCTTTGCTCTAGGGACCTGAAAAACAATCTGGAACATGTTTGAACTTGAATTACACAACAATGGTGCTCACTCAGAGTTCTAAAAACCCCTTACCATCAGCATCCACTTCGTTGATCATATCCTGCAACTCGGCTTCTGTTGGGTTTTGACCCAGTGACCTCATGACAGTCCCAAGTTCCTTCGTTGTGATGGTACCATCACCATCTTTATCGAATAAGGAGAAAGCTTCCTTGAATTCTGAAAACAGAAGTTTACTCTTTAACATGCATGTTTTTACCCAACCCAGTTGTGATACACACTTCCCTGTGGCTTGCCAAAACAAGCTGTCCAAGTTATCAGAAACCACCTGGCCTTTATCTACTGAAATAATGACAGTAGACCTGTTGGTCTGGCCAGCACACAGCAGCCCAGAAAGCAAACATTGCTCCTGGTAACCAGTTAAATAAAGCCACAATATTCTATTAAAAAAAAAAAAAGCTTGAACCTACTTAAATTGGCCCTAAGTCCAATCTGAGATCATTAGTTCACATTACCTTAAAGTCCCTTCCCTGCTGCATTTTTATAGCCATACAGAACCCATTCCATAGCAACATGAAAAGATTACTAGAATCGTACAATCTCAGGTAGCCACAATGTTCTCTATACCACGCTCAGGATACTTCACAAGCATTCCAGGTTTCCAGGTAGAGAAACCATCCTAAAACAAGTCCTCAGGGGAATGAAAAGGTAAAGTCTAAATCAGTGCAACTCACTTCCAATTATTACAGCACCCCGACACTTGCTTTTCACCCACTTCCATGTATTTTAGGATTGCCAAGCAAAAGCTTTCATGGTAGATTTATACTAAGAGGTCTGTAGCCTAAAAACTACTAACTCCATTTCTGAGTAGCAGGCTCAGTGGACATCATCCTATGCACAACTGTGCATACAGCCAAGTGCTGTGGGACACTCTAGAGTCTAATAGGCGGGCAGTTTCCGTTCCACTCTTTCTATGTTATCTCTGAAATACTGGCCAGGAATAACGACTTCAACATTTTTGCTTACTGATTTCATTTAAAGGCATTCTTAGAAAACCACACAGAAAGTAAAGAACACCAAAACCAAGTCTGAGCCTGGTTTCAACCTTCTGGGGACACCCCAGAGCCACCAACTTACCAGCAATCTGTTCTTCAGTCAGCTGATCAGCCTACACAGAGAAAGAAAAGGTCATAATTCAATCCAGGAAAGTTTGGTCCATAACAACCTAGCTTTTTAAATTACACTTCTGAGGTGTTCTTCCAAATCAGTCTTTTAATGTATGGTCAATTCCACCTGTCACTTAATGAAAGTGACTGCAATAGAGGAACTTAGGCTAGCTGGATGTCAACACAGGACGGCAAGGAAGTAACAGTATCTGCTGGCTTCAAGTCTTCTTTAGCCTACAGCTTCAAGTAAACTGCTGCCACCTAACCAGTGTCAGCCCTAATGTGGAACATGGTGCCTCTAGTGGCCACAGGCCCCTCGGCACCAGCTGCAGCAAGGAAGGAAGAGCGCCACCTACTGCACCATGTACACTGCAGTACCAGCTTCCATCCAAGGGACCCAGCCCAAGGCCATGCCGCACCAGGATCAGGATCCTGTCCAGGGGCAGGCTTTTAGTGCGCCTTGCACATTGCTTTGGGGCGTTACATAATGGTATTGGGTTGGATTAACAGGCTTTTATACCCATTTTATGAGAAACAATTAAGTGGAAAAAATAAATATACAGTAATGGGTTACCCACGCCACTGATTTCATTTCCATGTAATAAATGCTTTCCAATCATTTAAATTAGGCAGTTATTTGCTAAAAGCCTACCATTTACAATGTGTAATGTCTTCAGTCAAATTATTGTGATTCAGAAGCCAGGGGGAAAAACTGGATCTTATGACAGTGTTAGAACTACTACAAGTATTAAGTACCCCTCAAAAAGCACAGTAATTATGAAACAATATGACATCCCTCCTTCCTCATGTGCAAGAATAGCTATTACATTTCCCGGTGTTTACCATACCTACTTAAAGAATGAAATAAAAGCTGCTCAAAACACTTTATTGGAGGTGCTAAAATGGTCACAAAGGTGATTGTCACTTGCATTATTTAGACTTTGCAACCCTCCAGCCAGGGAACTCAAGATCTCAACTAAAATGCATTTTTATTTCAATGAAGGAAAATAAAGCCAGTTACAAAATAAATCCCAATAAAAACCCAATGGCGTCAAAGTTCATTCGTTTAAGTGGAAACTTTCATCTTAGAAATAGTTGTCCCCAACATATTGATTTGGGCGAGGAAGAACTTTAAAAACAAAATTTTTTTAAGTGGGTCTTCCTTTCTACCCGTCACCGAAAGCTACTCTTCTTTAAATCAAATGCAGACACGAGGATTTATGTAATGCCTAACCATCGTCGGTCTTGTACAACAGGAAGCGATGCCACACCTCGGAGAAGCTGTCACTTCACCAGGGAGAATTGTCCCACCTCCTCGAAAACTCCCGGGTCCGGCAGAGGGCTCACCAGACCCCACCCCGAGCTACGCAGGCCCTGGGGGCAAAGGGACTCCAGAACCCCTCCGCCCCGCCAGGCCTGCAAAGCGCCGCGGGGTGATGTCAGCGCAGCCGGGCGAGGGAGGAAGGGGGCCGGGGAGCCCGCTCCAGAGCCCCATCTGGCAACGTGGAGGCTGCCGAGAAGGCGGAAACGTGGAGATGGGCATCTCTCGGCCTCCCGGGACCAGGAACGCGCGGAGTTCGCCAAGGGCCTGGCTGGGTGCTGTCCCTCCCCGGCCCCAGCACCTCCCACCCGCTCCCGCTCCCCCGGGCTACGAGCCCGCCACGCACCCGCCTCCTCCCGGAGCAGAAACTTTGCGTCTCTCAGGGAAACCGAGCCGCGCGCCAACTCTCTCCTCCCCCGCCCGGCCGCCCCAATTAGCGAGAGCCTCCCGCGGGAAGGAGCCAC